CAACAGTTCTTAGACGGATTGAAAGCACTTGTTGTGAATCAGTTCTCAAATTGATATTGCTATGCTCCGATCTACTGAGTGGCAAACCCGAAACAACTGTCACATCGGCTGTGCCTGAAAAACAACAAAACGTGGTATTGATTATTTTTTTCCATCTATTTGCAATAAAAATGAACAAATTATATTGAATAGAATACCTGGCAAGTAGATAATTTACTAGAGATTTTAGGAATTATTTCACTTCAAAGGTTGTGCAGTAAAAACTAGAAGTAAACTACGAGTGACTTCAACGACTTTGCGATGATCGCCACAAGTTTGAAAAAACGAGGGAGGACGGGTGATCTCAGAGCTTAAAGTACAACTTGCTGGCAACTGTTAGTCAGTAGGTATCAACGTGGTATCAGAAATTACTTCATGAAAGTTGAAACACCTTATATCACCATAACATGGTAGAAGTTACTAAGATGAAAGATGAAAGATAAGGAGTGAAACAAGGCAGTCAAAAGTGGTAGAATGTCATGAAAAGACAACAAGAAAAAATAACGCAATCCGAAATTCTACATGACAGTTAAGATGAAAAAATGCATCAATCCGCCTGCACCATTGAGATCTATTTCGAAATATGTTGTTAACAGTCTTCAACCTCTGACTTTAGTTGTTTCAAGGACTGCAACTGGGATCCTTACATTTCTCCAGAAATTTCAGTCTTGCTCGTTACCAACTTTTTTCCGAATGAAATCACCCCAGCTGACCTTGAGGATCGGTACAGATGCTGACTGGGCAGGGGTACCACACGTTCTAGCTACCTGATTCAGTGTAGGTCCACAACATCACGAGCCGAACAACCACTTCGTTCTGGAAATCAACATTTGAGTTTTGAGTTGCTGACGTGATGTCATAAAAATTCATGGTCTATGCTACGAAAGATAGTTTACTAACCGCTCCTAGACCCGGATAAAGAAGGAAGGTTGGGCATACAGCTAGCAACCCTACACCGGAAAACCAATCCAATCAACAAAGTAACTTCAAAACACAAAGAAATTATAAAACATGAAAAGAAACTTACTCCCCACCGGAATCGGAGAGGCCAAATGACGCCGGTTGGTGAAAGCCTTCAGGAAGCCAGTCGGCCTATGTGACTTCTCTCTCTCTCTCTCTCTGTCGATGAAAGCGAAAGTAAGGATGGGGACATGGAATCTCCACACAATGATTCAACCTAGCAAGACAACCACGACCACACTGAATTTCAGAGTGCCTATCATGACGTCTCCAAGAACATTGAAGCCTCTCATTCAGTGGAAACCAATCTCCTCCACCATCACGATCATGACAGCAAGATTCAGCTCAAAAGGAAGAAAAGTCACAATCATTCAATGCCACACTACGCTACGCACCTACAAATAATGCAGATGAAGAGAAGAAGGGGGAATTCTACAGACAACTACAATCAGTACCAGACAAGACTCCAGATGGCGACATCAAAATTCTAATGGTTGGGGTGACATGAATGTGAAACTGGGAGCAGACAACACAGGACGAGAACCAATCACAGGTTGAGAGACACTCGGTGAAGTGATGAATGAGAACGGAGAACTGTTTGCAGAATTCCGCACATTTAATGACTTGGTGATTGGAGGCAGTGTGTACAAACACAAGGACATCCACAGAGTGACAAGCATTTGACTTCATCGGACACCAGGACACACTAAACATCAGATCGACTTCATCTCAATGTGAAGAAGGTGGAGACGCAGGCAGCCTACTGGACACAAGATCAGATCAAGAAGGGGAACAGATGTATGTGGTTCACACCACTCACTATCTAGTGCAAACAACCTAACTTCAGAATCAAGTTGAAAGTCTTCACAGAAGTTGGTGATATACCACAGTTGAAGTTCAACATCCAGAACAAAACTGAAGGACGAAACTACAAAGGAAATCTTCACGTCAACCATCAGAATAAAATGGTAGACATTGAGCAACATCCGTGGAGAATCAGGCTTGGAGGAACACTGGAATTCTTCGAAAGGGAAGTTGAACGAAACCTGCATAACCGTGTTAGGAAGGAAGAAGAAAGAAGACAAGGAATGGATGGATGAACAACGAAAAGAGGAACTGGATACAACCTATAAAGCACTGGACGAAGAAGTTGAGTAGAATGCGCAGAAAGACAAAAGACACTTCTACGACACATTGGCAAGCGAAGCAGAACAGGCCACTGGTAGGAGAGACGTGACAGGATTGTATCAAATAACCAGGTTACTTACTATCTGGGAAGAGATCAACTCGGATGAAACCAATGAAAGATAGTGGGCGGAACGTAGTTACGAAAGAGGAGAAACAATGGGTTGACCACTTCAAAAAACTCCTGAATCGACCACCCCATCTGCAACTCGTCCAGAATTACGACTACCATCCCAACCGCAGATCTGCCAGTGAACACAAGCCCTCCAATGAAAGCAGAAGTCCTGAATCCCATAAAGTTACTGAAATTCAGGAAAGCTGTAGGACGAGATGGAATTCCACCACAAGCACTGGAAACAAACTCAGGGACGTCAGCAGCGGACATGCTCACACCACTATTGCAGAATGTTTGGTAGGAAGGAAAGGCAGCTGCCCACTGATGGGAAGAAAGACCACCTTTTCAAACTCACGAAGAAGGACGACCTAAGTTTTTGCAAGAACAGGTGTGGAACCATACTGCTGTCCACGCCAAGCAAAATGTTAACCCTCATCATCCTGGAGAGACTAGAAGAGGATTCGCTGAATTCAAAACTATGACTGGAACAGGCTGGGTTCAGGAAGAACAAATCATGTGTGGATCAACCTGCAACGCTACACATCATCATGGAACAGAGCGTAGAACTGCAGTCAACTCCCTACCTCAAATTCATCGACTTTATAAGGGCCTTGGATACCGTCGACCGAGAAGTGATTCGGCAAGCAGTTGCTTCAACACCACGGAATACCACAAACCTTTATCAATCTCATTCAACAGCTATATGATGATGATGATGATGATGATGATGATGATGATGATGCTACATGCCGAGTGATTCACAATGGAAAGTTCAGTGACACCTTCGAAGTGAGGACAAGGGTAAGACAAGGTTGCCTACTACTATCATCGATGATCTTCCTGGTTGTGATCCACTGGACCAGAGTGGACTGGACTGGACTGGACTGGATCATGAAACAGACAATTGTGAAGAGCGAGAAGATGTGGATACGCTGTTTGATCGATGAAAAGAGCCTAGAAGATTTGAACTTCGCCGATGATGATTTATGTTCAATATGTTATCGCACAAACTCAAAGATCTACAGGCTAAAAGAGAAGATATAGGTGATGAAGATACCCAACCAACGCCAGCACAAACAACAACAAGCTGCAATTGCCATCAACAGGAGAAAGCTAAAGGAAATAGTCTCTTTAACCCACTCACCTAGGCAGCATCGTTTCAACTACAGGTGGCGGCACAGTCACAGGCACAGATGAGGATATCAAAACCAGGGTTGGAAAGACAGCAAGACAGGCGTTCATTAATCTGAAACCAGTGTGGAGATCTGCACTCAGCATGAAGCGTGAACAAGATCCGGATTTTCAACACCAACTCAGTCAAGTCAGTGCTGCTACGTTATGGTTTGGAAATTCGGTGTGTCACGTAAAGCATTACCAACAAGCTACGGACACACTTCAGCAGCTACCTATGCTCGCTCGATATTGAAGATCAGATGACCAGAATAATAAGAATAAGCAAGAAGGTACTCGCTCTAACTGGCAACGAACCAACCAAGAACCCATCGCCCAACCAATATGCAGAAGAAAGTAGAGATGGATTGGCATGCACCATTTGGTGACCATTTGTGGGCAACTCGCTCCAGACCAGACTGTCGAGTGGAACCCAGATGGAAAGTGACGAGTTGGGTGTTCGAGAGTGACACGTAGGAGATCTTGTTAGGAGGAAATGAAAGCTTTTGGGCAGTCGTGGAGCCAGGTTCAAAAGACTGCAGAGAACAGAGTGAAATGTAGACCTGCTACTGAAGCCTTATGTTCCACTAGGAACCCAAGGAGAAATAGTAATTATATATATATTGTTAAACTATTTGAATCTACCATCGGTTTTGTCCTAAAGCAAATTATTCTTTCTCCACCTCACTCTTGGTTAACTTTTTTTCATTATCGAGAACATTATTAAATATTTTGTCCTTTTTTCACCACCTTCCAATTCTTGTCTCCTATTATCGTTACCATTATATTCCTGCAGCCTTTTTTTTTGATATAAATAGGCATGATAAATAAACGTGGGATCAAACTATTCAAATGTGTTTCGCACATATATAACATTGTTCAGATAGACTTCATCTGCTTACCACATGGTTCAAATTTACTAAACGTTCTTATCATTTCAAATTCTAAGGTGTAGTTAGACTCACTTTAATGGTGGTCATAAATTAAATCAAACAGTAAACTCCTTCATAGTTTGATAAATATTCAAAGCATTTTTTGACAGAAGATACTATCTCTGAATATAAGACTATTAACTGAACTGTAGAATGAAACCTTGGAGCTCAAAACTGGTAAAATATTTCTAGCTTTCCCGAATTATGTATTCTAGACTGTTAACTACGATTTAGATAAAAGAGATGCTTTTTGATTAAAATACTGATTATTGCACCCAAACACCTTGTAGTATTGATATAACATGATGTTGTAGTGATTTGGCCTGTCTACTCAAAAAATGGTGTAATTTGATAAGGTTAAAAGTTTGTGTGTCAAAATTGTTATCAAAGCACCAATGGAAAAGTAGTGAATCCGATGTTTCAGTTCTTAATATTGACTAGATGGAATATGGTGCGTAAGTCAGATAAAATGATACAAGTATGTTGAGATTTCAATGTTAGATGTTCAGTGTCCATAAGTAGGCATTATGAAGTAACCCATCTTCGCATTTTGAATAAGATGGATAGCTGAACATGATACCTTATTTTTATTCCCACAGGGTGTTTGTAGTGGAGCTGTTCGTGGAGCAGGACTTCAAGTATTCGGTGCAATTGTATGTTTTGTCACCTTATATGCAATTGGCTCCCCAATCGGTTTGTGCCTTGTTTTCGTGGCTGGATATGGCTTAGAAGGTAATTCAATTTCTGCTACTCTCTTCGTCTTCTGATAACCAGTTTTAGCTAATAGGCCACGTGATTTGGTAATTACTGTGTAACGTACCGCTGATAAAAGGCTTGAATTATTTGAAAATAGCAAGAAAAGCAGTGGAGCTCTCAGCAACTTCATAAAGGCAAATTCGTGTATGACATGCCTAAATTATCGTTGTATTCACAAAATGACGAATCGTCCAACTAACAAAAAATAAGTTAACCGCGTAGCGTACCTTAAGTTTTACAAAATATTTGCATGAAGTACTCATAGGGAAGTGATTTAAGGAGAACTTCTGTTGTTGAAGCAGGAGCATAGCATCTAAAAACTTTTATCAGAAGTAATATATGAAAAAAGAATCAGTCACTTGGAACGACTCAGTTCTGAAAATTAGTAATGGATATTTCCGAAAGAAACAGTATGAATCACGAACCAAAGGTTAATGATCGCTCTTTTTTGCGACAATATCACTGCCTTGTTACGATGGTTTCATTGCCAATTGATCTTGATTTTTCCTAATCTCACAGTCTGACGTCATACTTGACGTCATCTTTCGAGAGAAAGCAGAATCTTATTCACTTTATATGAGAAGGCTGACACGAGATTTAACGTACACTGAGAGCACAGCTCATAAGTGTCCTACTTAATGGAAAAACGTTTTTCACCAAGTATGCGAAGTTGTTAACCATCTAGACCTAATTCTCAATGACGGTGACTTCCATAGTTACATCACATGTTTTAACTTCAAACTTTCACTGAATATCTGATTAAGGCAGGAAGAAAACAAACAACAGAATTAGTATTCATGCTTTTCATGGGCCCTCCTCAGTTGCTTCATAACCTATCATATAATGTTCGTAACGAAAATCAAGACATTATGGATTATGTCCTATACTGGACATAATGTTGACGATCAAAATCGTTCAAAGTGATCAACAAAAAATAGAAACACAAATAATTGCACTTTGCTAAAACAGTTGCTATAAGAAGACTCAAATGTGATCTATGTAATCAGAAAGATACAGTTATTAGTCTCGCTTCACCTTAGTAATTTCAGTCTCTAAAATTCATAACTACAAAGTTGCACGATTTAATCACTCTCTGTTTTTTTCATTTTCTCTTTCATTCTGTTTCAAAACCTACTCTGATTTTCTGATTCCTGTTCATCTAAAAATAACTATTCAAATGATAAAAATCTGTAAACCTTTTTGAATTTAGATCTCTGACCTTTGCATACAGAAAGAGAGTGTAGTTGATCTCTCACTTCCTTGATGAATATGATTTGATCCTGATTCATACTCACTTCAATTACATAACTATTTATTTATCATTATTATTCCCTCTTTCTTACATCTCTTAGCCCTTTACAATTAGTTCGCCTACTTGTTATATGGATCATCAATGATTTCGTTGTACAACCTACAATTACTGATTTTGAAATATCTATGTGCGAAAAACCATTGCACCTTTAGAACGTATGCAGCGGAGGAGAATTTATGAAATGGAATGATATCATTTTATTCTGTGAATTTCGTCTTTCCTGTTCTATCCAAATGTTAATACTAGAATAATGATGTGTACAACCCCCTCTTATTTTTGTCATCTTCATCAGAATATTCATTCTATCATTACAGAAACAGTCAAAAAGGCCCAACAGCTTTATTGTTTCATCAGTTTCAGTTGACCTACATCTTGATCTTCTCAAAGTATTCATGTCAATTTAAGAAATTTTGTTGCAAACTTTTTTTTATTATAAACATTATATTCTGTGATTTGCTTAGCTGTAGCCAGCAGTGTGGTCCAGGACATGCTTTTGATCCCGAATAAAACTACTAGTGTGAACAGCTAATTATACTCTATAGATTTTAAAGCAGCTGAGTGGGGTTCACGAAATATATGTTTACTAATTCTGCTACATTTGTTATTCTTACTTTATTCAACTTCGTCAACGGGAAGAGTTGTACAAAGTTTATTTGGTACTACCTAAAAGACTTATACTCTAAATAATAACTTCTCAAGTAAACTAATCTTACTTTAAATGGTAAAGTGCCGCTTTAGTGTATTTTGTTGATATATTCTAAGTCAACATTAATTGTTTTCTTTGAAAGGAAAAGCCGAAATTTAATTGTTTCAAAGTAAATATTCATGCAGCATATGCAAAACTGACAATTTCACCAAATTTACACCCTTTCTTTTCAACAATAGGCTTATGGATAGGAATGACTGTAGGAACTATTCTCGAGGGTATTGTTTACCTCATAACTTGTCAATGTATCAACTGGCAAAAGCAGGTAGAACTTGTAAGTTGTTAAATTTTTTTCTTCAGATTTACTTTACTTTTGTAATTTTTGAAGACCTTCATATTCCGTGGCCAGCTCGTTACCATTTAGTCATGGGGTTGGAATCTAGTGACTCAGCAGTGACGCGCTGGTCGCGTAACCTGAAGATCCTGGGTTCGACCTCTGACGGCGTCATTGGTGCGCTGTTGAGGAGTCCCATACTATGACAAAATAGCTGTCCAGTGCTCCTGGTTTTCTACTTTTTCTCTGGTGGATATCCATCCAATTAGGAATATCAATCTGAAGTCAATAAATAAATCCCTCGAAGCCTCTAAATTGAATCACAGTAAGGTCTGAGATTTAGCATCTTAACGAAATGCGTAGCTCAAATCCGTGTATAATATTCTGCAAATCTTGTTATTTTCCATGTGAATTCATCTTCTGGTGAATTTTTGGAGGGTAGACGACTTCATTTAGCATTTATTATTGACTATACACTGAAAAATGTTGAGAATGAAGGTCTGTTTAATAACTGGATATCATACAGCGACTTGAATCTATCACAAAAATATGGACTTCAGATAGAGTTTTTCCATTTCACTCTTACAAAATTGTGAGACGAGACCTAATTTGAAGTGACCTGCTGAAAATGTTGGGTGCAAACTCTTACCTATTAGCCTGCAGTTTTGTAATTACTTCTCAGCCTGGTTATATAATTGCGCTTCATATTTCATTAAGTATATATATATATATATATATATATATATATATATACATATATATATATATATATATATATATACATGCACGAGAACATTCGCCAGAAAAGGTGAAGTAAAAGTAGTGGTAGCGCAACCAGTAAACAAACGCTCTCATGTAGGCATTGATAAAACCTGTAATATCCTATATCGCGTACCAAAAATAATACCATAGGTAACTCGTTAACGCCTGCTCGACAAGATTGTGGCTGTCGTAATAAGGATGATCACACCTTAGCTTCGCATCCTGAAGGAATACGTTGAGGCTTTATACCCCCTTGGTTTACAACAAATTAAAGGCTTCTGCTATTTTCTTTATTTGTTGTCTTTTCTTTCTCTATCAAATTCTTAACGTCTTCATGTCATCTTAATATTGACAAACTCACATACTTCTTGATAGCCCCTTACTTTCGGTGCACTTTGAAAGCGCATTTGACTCAAAAGATCTGTTTTTATGTTATGCAACTGTATTTTAGAGTTGTAAAACCTGATCAAAAAATATAGAAAAGAATATTATCCGTTCAGAATGTTTGTATATACATATATATGTATCGATAGACAAATTTTTATCCGTGACGCTTTGTCAACCTTACACTTCACCCTGACTCTACTTAAGCTGGATAACAGAAAATTGCTAATGATAAATACTAGTTAGCAGTCAAACACATAGAATGCGCTTCACTATGTTAGGGACTCATTATCTAGATATCTCTCCTGCCCAGCACTGTTTTTTCCTACTGAGGTCAGAACCTAGTACACATTACAGCAAACAGATACCCTCTAGGATACTGAACCATGATATAAAAGTTTTTGCGAGCTATTTTTCTTTACCATAAGTGATAACAACCCACCACTACGATAAACAGTACAGAATCGACATCGATAATAGAATTTCAGGAAGACGTTCAACGTCAAACTGCCTTGTTTATGCAATGGGGTTGGTCAGTTTTGGACAAAACTATCAAGTTTCCTATCAACTCCACTGCTGGCGACATTTTTTGGTAGTGAAGTGAACAGTATATGCAAGCACTCACCTAAATGTCTTTAGGCCTTGCTGCTGAATGTGAGTAAATGCCTAAACTTGCCTTTTAAGTTCTTCATGATAATTCTGCATAAAGTTGCGAATCAAGTTGGCAGGGTTACAGATTAAAAATTTCGGAAAGAAATCTCCACAGTATTAACAACACGGTCTCCATGTAGGTTGCATTTCTTTGGCAAATGAATTTTACATAGAAGCCGTGAGAGGTAAAATATGGTAACTCTTTCCAATGAAGAATTTCAAGCTTTTTTGTAACGTCATAATCAAATAATTGGAGTCTGATCACTGAAGATCATAAGGAAATTCAAACAAATGCTGAGTGACATCCAGACAGAATCTAAATCCATAAGTCCTTAGACTTGAAAAAGACTTTTCGCAAATACTTCAGTGATGGACGTAGTGAAGCTGAATATGAGTTCAGGAAGCTTAATAATATGAATCATGTTACGTCGATGGATGAGAACAATATTACCCCTCCACTACCCACCAAGAAATAGTAAGTGGTGCAGACATTCAGTTAGATCGTGCTGGTGAAACCTGTGAAGTAATTGTCAAGAGTTTGCAAAATGTTGTAGCATGTTAAGTATCATCCAGCCTATCTGCAACTATATCTTATAATGAAAGTCCACGAAAGGTTCTCAAGTAGTGCTAGTGCAAGCCCAATCATCGTCAACAGTTAAAAAACATATCTAGGAGGTTTCGAAACCCCTACACACACATCAAACGAGATAGGTGCTTTGCATAGTAGTGGTTTATCATGCCAGAAACAGTTTATATCCTCACGAGAAAATGGACACTAGGATGTCTACAAGCCAGCTCCACTTCTGAAACCACAACCACTAATCAATCGGCAACTAGAAACCCTAAATCCAGTCAAATTCAAAGGTTGCTCCCAGTGAATTAGGCCGTCGGAAGCAAGTCATCGGGGTAGTACACTACGTTAAATATGGCAACTCATTTCATAGCGGAATACCTTATCATCCGACTAACTGCACATAGACTACTCTGGCTTAATCTGGACATAATATCCCAGGCCGTCATCCAAAAACCAAGGTTTGTTGGCAAACGGAACCAAAACAATATGACAGCACTACCTGTACAAAAGAGACTAAGTGATGTTGATTTATTTAGGCTGGCTAATTTGTGTAAGCATTTCAGTTTTAAAAATAGCATGGGAACGATGAAATGCACATAACTGGTTAGCGTGAACCTCAAACACCCTTTAAGAATCAAAGCCGAAAAATATTGGAATTCCTTATCTGAAATTATAGGGGATGTTTTCGAAAATACTTACCAGTCAAATTCTTTCAAGCGGGGAGGAGAAGACTCATCAAATATCTTTCTTTTAAATGTCAGCGAAACATTCCTTTCATTTCCAAATGCGTTTCAGTTACTTCAAACTACTCTTCAGCATAGATTCAGCAAAAAAGTAATGAGGAATAATTTGCTAGGATCCAGCGAAATGTTACTAGTCAATCAAAATATATCATTGTACTATAAATCATTATTTCAAGGCGGAGGTGATAAAGTGTGTAGAAAGACTGACAAAATCTTCATAAAAGGCATCATGTACCAAAGATTTTTTCAGCCAGTCATTGTGCCTCGAAGTTTCGAGAAAAATACGTGAACTAAAATGTAAGTATCAGGTTGATTGAAAAGATAAAAAATCAACAGAATTTACATCTAGTGGCCTTGAAATAGTCCAGGCCATTGGAATGCATAATGGCCTTATAGTCTGTATATATCGTTGACGTTGCCGCTGACGTTGTAAATACACCTCTTCTATTACCATCTTTTTCCATTGACGGGGGAACTAAGTGACTAGTAAGGGGTGAAATCTGAAGGTATTTGTACACCCGTCCGCATTTACATAATTCAGTCTATCAAGTCACTGTAAAGATGTACAAAATGTGGCGACTGAAGTATGTAAAACATACCGCTAGTTACTGATAGCATTCTGAGGAGCTATTATCATTATTTGTCCCTTGGTTTCCTAGTGGAACATAGGGCTTCAGTAGCAGGTCTCCATTTCACTCTGTTCTCTCCAGTCATTTTAACCTGGCTCCACAACTGCCAATAAGCTTTCATTTCCTCCTAACAAGATCTCCTACGTGTCACCCTCGGACACGAGGAGCTATGGAAGTAAAATATTTTTCCCTGGCAAGAAAAAGTCGAAATGAATTGCTTATAATCTTGGACTAAACTTGTTAAAAGAGGAAGATGTATTGACATGCAGTATTTATTTGTTCAACCAATTTTTTTGCATCCAAAATCTCGGCGAAAATAGCCTGTTTGCGTGAATCGAAAAACTAGTTTAAGTCATGAGATAATTAAGGCAGGTTACTTGTTCTTGATTTTACGACTATTCATTCAGAGCTTGTTAAACAGTAATTCAGACAAAATTTGTGAAAAATAGCCAAGCAATTACTTGTTTACAAATTTTTTACACTTTTGCTTATTCTCGTTTGTTCTCTATCTTTGTTACATCCCTTTAAATATAGGCAGTACAAAGAACAAATCAGTTAATGTCAGCCAATCAGATTTCAGAGGAAAGGATAAACTATGGTAGTTCCGAAAGTCGATATCCCAATGATAAAGTGACTTCATCAGTTAGAGATGATAATGTAGAGGAAACAGCGGAAATAGGAATTCGAACAAATGTTTCACTTTTTGAAAGTATGTTTGTTACTTCAGTAAGAAATCTTTGAACCCAGACAGTTGTTAGCTTAAACTTTTCATTTATCATTATTTAAATATGATTTGTCGCATGACAAAAAATTGATAGGATGTGTGGAAAGCAGTGAAATGTTTGAAATAAGTCATTTTTGTATTCTAATACACTGGATAAGACTAAACACGATTAGGAATTCGGGCTAAAAAAACTTACCTGAATGTAATTCCCACTTTGGTCTTAACTTTTAACAGTTTCTTGGGTGGAAAGTCCTAGGCCTAGATTTCATGTTACTATTTCCTTAACGTACCAAGAGTAAAGAGATGACATAGTGGTTATAATGAGGATTTTTAAACAAATGTGGCATCTTCTGAAAAGCCTCAGTGGCAACTTCAAGATAATTAAGATGCACTTACAACCTTCCAGATGTAAGTAACTAAGTATCTCAGCACTGGTATGCGTTAGGGTCCTGTTTGATAATATGGAGTGAATCAGTTGAGAAAATTCGGGACTTCACTTATATAGGTGGTCATATTTACTATGATGAACAAATAACCGACAAAATCTGGGAACAGATACAAAAGCTAAATAATCTACACCAACTAACGCCTACTGTGGAGCTCGTGAGATCAAATGACCATTAAAAGTCGAGTGCTGACTTATATTCTGTGGCTGTAAATCAATTATTATTATTTGCATCTTGGGTTCATAGTGGAACATAAGGCTTCAGTAGCAGGTCTACATTTCACTCTGTTCTCTGCAGTCTTTTGAACCTGGCTCCACGACTGCCCAAAAGCTTTCATTTCCTCCTAACAAGATCTCCTACGTGTCACTCTCGAACACCCAACTCGTCACTTTCCATCTGGGTTCCACTCGACAGTCTGGTCTGGAGCGAGTTGCCCACAAATGGTCACCAAATGGTGCATGCCAATCCATCTCTACTTTCTTCTGCATATTGGTTGGGCGATGGGTTCTTGGTTGGTTCGTTGCCAGTTAGAGCGAGTACCTTCTTGCTTATTCTTATTATTCTGGTCATCTGATCTTCAATATCGAGCGAGCATAGGTAGCTGCTGAAGTGTGTCCGTAGCTTGTTGGTAATGCTTTACGTGACACACCGAATTTCCAAACCATAACGTAGCAGCACTGACTTGACTGAGTTGGTGTTGAAAATCCGGATCTTGTTCACGCTTCATGCTGAGTGCAGATCTCCACACTGGTTTCAGATTAATGAACGCCTGTCTTGCTGTCTTTCCAACCCTGGTTTTGATATCCTCATCTGTGCCTGTGACTGTGCCGCCACCTGTAGTTGAAACGATGCTGCCTAGGTGAGTGGGTTAAAGAGACTATTTCCTTTAGCTTTCTCCTGTTGATGGCAATTGCAGCTTGTTGTTGTTTGTGCTGGCGTTGGTTGGGTATCTTCATCACCTATATCTTCTCTTTTAGCCTGTAGATCTTTGAGTTTGTGCGATAACATATTGAACATAAATCATCATCGGCGAAGTTCAAATCTTCTAGGCTCTTTTCATCGATCAAACAGCGTATCCACATCTTCTCGCTCTTCACAATTGTCTGTTTCATGATCCAGTCTAGTCCAGTCCAGTCCACTCTGGTCCAGTGGATCACAACCAGGAAGATCATCGATGATAGTAGTAGGCAACCTTGTCTTACCCTTGTCCTCACTTCGAAGGTGTCACTGAACTTTCCATTGTGAATCACTCGGCATGTAGCATCATCATCATCATCATCATCATCATCATCATCATCATCATATAGCTGTTGAATGAGATTGATAAAGGTTTGTGGTATTCCGTGGTGTTGAAGCAACTGCTTGCCGAATCACTTCTCGGTCGACGGTATCCAAGGCCCTTATAAAGTCGATGAATTTGAGGTAGGGAGTTGACTGCAGTTCTACGCTCTGTTCCATGATGATGTGTAGCGTTGCAGGTTGATCCACACATGATTTGTTCTTCCTGAACCCAGCCTGTTCCAGTCATAGTTTTGAATTCAGCGAATCCTCTTCTAGTCTCTCCAGGATGATGAGGGTTAACATTTTGCTTGGCGTGGACAGCAGTATGGTTCCACACCTGTTCTTGCAAAAACTTAGGTCGTCCTTCTTCGTGAGTTTGAAAAGGTGGTCTTTCTTCCCATCAGTGGGCAGCTGCCTTTCCTTCCTACCAAACATTCTGCAATAGTGGTGTGAGCATGTCCGCTGCTGACGTCCCTGAGTTTGTTTCCAGTGCTTGTGGTGGAATTCCATCTCGTCCTACAGCTTTCCTGAATTTCAGTAACTTTATGGGATTCAGGACTTCTGCTTTCATTGGAGGGCTTGTGTTCACTGGCAGATCTGCGGTTGGGATGGTAGTCGTAATTCTGGACGAGTTGCAGATGGGGTGGTCGATTCAGGAGTTTTTTGAAGTGGTCAACCCATTGTTTCTCCTCTTTCGTAACTACGTTCCGCCCACTATCTTTCATTGGTTTCATCCGAGTTGATCTCTTCCCAGATAGTAAGTAACCTGGTTATTTGATACAATCCTGTCACGTCTCTCCTACCAGTGGCCTGTTCTGCTTCGCTTGCCAATGTGTCGTAGAAGTGTCTTTTGTCTTTCTGCGCATTCTACTCAACTTCTTCGTCCAGTGCTTTATAGGTTGTATCCAGTTCCTCTTTTCGTTGTTCATCCATCCATTCCTTGTCTTCTTTCTTCTTCCTTCCTAACACGGTTATGCAGGTTTCGTTCAACTTCCCTTTCGAAGAATTCCAGTGTTCCTCCAAGCCTGATTCTCCACGGATGTTGCTCAATGTCTACCATTTTATTCTGATGGTTGACGTGAAGATTTCCTTTGTAGTTTCGTCCTTCAGATTTTGTTCTGGATGTTGAACTTCAACTGTGGTATATCACCAGCTTCTGTGAAGACTTTCAACTTGATTCTGAAGTTAGGTTGTTTGCACTAGATAGTGAGTGGTGTGAACCACATACATCTGTTCCCCTTCTTGATCTGATCTTGTGTCCAGTAGGCTGCCTGCGTCTCCACCTTCTTCACATTGAGATGAAGTCGATCTGATGTTTAGTGTGTCCTGGTGTCCGATGAAGTCAAATGCTTGTCACTCTGTGGATGTCCTTGTGTTTGTACACACTGCCTCCAATCACCAAGTCATTAAATGTGCGGAATTCTGCAAACAGTTCTCCGTTCTCATTCATCACTTCACCGAGTGTCTCTCAACCTGTGATTGGTTCTCGTCCTGTGTTGTCTGCTCCCAGTTTCACATTCATGTCACCCCAACCATTAGAATTTTGATGTCGCCATCTGGAGTCTTGTCTGGTACTGATTGTAGTTGTCTGTAGAATTCCCCCTTCTTCTCTTCATCTGCATTATTTGTAGGTGCGTAGCGTAGTGTGGCGTTGAATGATTGTGACTCTTCTTCCTTTTGAGCTGAATCTTGCTGTCATGATCGTGATGGTGGAGGAGATTGGTTTCCACTGAATGAGAGGCTTCAATGTTCTTGGAGACGTCATGATAGGCACTCTGAAATTCAGTGTGGTCGTGGTTGTCATCTGGGTGACAGTATCGGAGTAGATTATTGACTCTCCAGTTGACAGTTTGGAGAGTCCATTTTCATTCCATCTGCTTTCGCAGATTCCCAGCACTCCTATGCTATACCTTCTCAGCTCTGTTGCAATCTGTGCAGCCTTGCTAGTTTGAAACATTGTGTGGAGATTCCATGTCCCCATCCTTACTTTCGCTTTCATCGAGAGAGAGAAGACACATAGGCCGACTGGCTTCCTGAAGGCTTTCACCAACCGGCGTCATTTGGCCTCTCCGATTCCGGTGGGGAGTAAGTTTCTTTTCATGTTTTATAATTTCTTTGTGTTTTGAAGTTACTTTGTTGATTGGATTGGTTTTCCGGTGTAGGGTTGCTAGCTGTATGCCCAACCTTCCTTCTTTATCCGGGTCTAGGAGCGGTTAGTAAACTATCTTTCGTAGCATAGACCATGAATTTTTATGACATCACGTCAGCAACTCAAAACTCAAATGTTGATTTCCAGAACGAAGTGGTTGTTCGGCTCGTGATGTTGTGGACCTACACTGAATCAGGTAGCTAGAACGTGTGGTACCCCTGCCCAGTCAGCATCTGTACCGATCCTCAAGGTCAGCTGGGGTGATTTCATTCGGAAAAAAGTTGGTAACGAGCAAGACTGAAATTTCTGGAGAAATGTAAGGATCCCAGTTGCAGTCCTTGAAACAACTAAAGTCAGAGGTTGAAGACTGTTAACAACATATTTCGAAATAGATCTCAATGGTGCAGGCGGATTGATGCATTTTTTCATCTTAACTGTCATGTAGAATTTCGGATTGCGTTATTTTTTCTTGTTGTCTTTTCATGACATTCTACCACTTTTGACTGCCTTGTTTCACTCCTTATCTTTCATCTTTCATCTTAGTAACTTCTACCATGTTATGGTGATATAAGGTGTTTCAACTTTCATGAAGTAATTTCTGATACCACGTTGATACCTACTGACTAACAGTTGCCAGCAAGTTGTACTTTAAGCTCTGAGATCACCCGTCCTCCCTCGTTTTTTCAAACTTGTGGCGATCATCGCAAAGTCGTTGAAGTCACTCGTAGTTTACTTCTAGTTTTTACTGCACAACCTTTGAAGTGAAATAATTCCTAAAATCTCTAGTAAATTATCTACTTGCCAGGTATTCTATTCAATATAATTTGTTCATTTTTATTGCAAATAGATGGAAAAAAATAATCAATACCACGTTTTGTTGTTTTTCAGGCACAGCCGATGTGACAGTTGTTTCGGGTTTGCCACTCAGTAGATCGGAGCATAGCAATATCAATTTGAGAACTGATTCACAACAAGTGCTTTCAATCCGTCTAAGAACTGTTGTTTTACCACGCATTCTATTCATATTTATCATGTTATGTCTGCTGAGTTTTAGTGTAATCTTAAGATTATATAAGCCATGGTCTGGTAAATTTGGTGCATACTGTACGTTTTCTAACGGCACATTCATTTCCTTGAAAGATCAAGATAATCTTCTGTCTAATGGCTTAAACAGAACTCTTTCAGACGGTGACATTGTTTTGTTAAGTAGTTTCAAGGAAGCCTGTTTAATATCTGTTCCATAAATGCTTCGCGTTTTTGACTAACAACCTGTATACGATGCTTTCTTCATTCACTACAAAACCTATCACCGGGCACTATTATCACTGTCATTGCCATCAGTGTTATTTCATAGCAAATGAAATAGGAGTTTTTTTGTATTTTGAATAACCTTATTTGTATTGTACCTTCCAGATACTAATGTATCAAATTAAAATGTTCCAATGAGCTCAACTACTCATATTTTTTCTCTAATGTCATTATAAATTTGGCACCTAATATTTATCAATTTTAACCTAACGGTTTCCGTCTATGTCACAGAGGAAATATTATGACATATAATATTTTCTTTAGTTAAACCTTTTGTATCCCATAAAATGTACATTTTGAAAGTTATAGTCAAACCACTTTATTTACCATTTTACTCTTGGATTATACTGAAAGAGTTTCACTGCACAATTTACAGATTAATAAATAAATGTCACATTTCTCATATAAATTATAGGATATTGTTCACTAAGCATTACCTCTGCCTTATAGTTCTACTGAGATTTTTGAATGCAAACTGAAATATATACGAATTGTTTGCTAACACAGCAAACTGAAGTAGATAATCGCAGACAGCTGGGTACATGAATAAATCAGCTTAGGCTTTGTAGGCGGTCTTCGTCATCAGCAAATATGATTTAAGGGACTGTCAAAAACCAGGATATATGTAATGGCAGCTTTTGTCGACTGAATTGTTCTCACTACCACAATATAAGGTAGTCTCATCATTTTCACATACAAAGATTCTAATTTAGTGGAAGGTTGGACGAATTCATCTTTTTATGAGTCTTTACTTAGGAACTTAGCATTTATTGTCGGATACACTACCAACAAACTGCTCAGTAGTAGCTCAATCTTTACCAAAGTGTATGTATTTCTTACAGCTTGTTCACGAACATTTATCTTAATTCTCATCTGCAACGTTCTAAAAGCATAAGACCTATCATTAAAACCAAGTTTGGTGAATCCCAGTTGTGCCATGTTGTGCACTTTGTTTGGGAAGACATTATGCTAGGATATTTGTAAATTATTATCTGGAGAATTGTAAATTGGAATAAAATCGTTAACCTATGAACTATATTTTTTGCTATTTTCTACAACTCCCCAGTAACATATTTTAACTGTTTAGATTCTTAAGATAATCAACTGATTCTGGAAATCTTTATGAATAAAGATAGTTTACAGTTTGGAACAATGTAAGTACAAAGACATTTGCTGAAGATGATGAGCCTTTTTTATTTTGAGGTCTTTCATCAGCTGCATATGACTCATATTTGAAATTAATTATTAGTAATGCTAATCACATAGCATACTTTAAATATGTAGAGATAACTTAAGATCTGAAATTCATGATTAACAATAAGGTAGTGGGTCATAGAAATAGAGGACTAATAATTACAAGTTTTAGTCAAAATCAGTGGTATTTTATGTCTGGGATAGTAAATTCTTGAGCCGTTGAAAGAGGGAACAACAGGCAAACAGTAGTGTAAAGGAAGGGTTTGTCAAAGAGCTAGTAGTCTTCTTAACCACATGAAGTAGCTGGAGAATAGTTAAGTGGTTAACAGTCAGTCAGTAAGCAATTAATGAAGAGGTGATGCAATCAGAAAAAGAAGACTATACACACACGTATGCAGGAAACTGTTTACAGTTACCAGAGTAAAGAAAAGTTAATTACAGTGTCTCTCTGAAAACATAGGTCAGGTTGAAAATGTTTGATGGTGACAACTTTCCCGAACCGTAATAAACATCGTGTTCTTTGTTTGTTGATTTTCCTAAAGGATTGAAAAACACCTATTTGATATCCTGTTTCTATAAGGTATCTGGCGATTGCGCTGATAAAGACCTTGCTATCTTTAGACACAGATTTCTCGAAATACGCTTGTAAAATAGAGTAGATGCCCTTCTTTTGATCCGTCATATTTCGCAAATGTCTTTGTTTTCGCATTGTTAAAATTTGTCAAGCTAACTCAATGTACAGTATTTCTGAATGGTCTACAATTTTTTATGTGGTACAAGCAAACCTGTCACAGAGTTGCTCAAATGGATATCAATAGCTTGTATGGTGTGAAAAAGGTGGCTTAGTAATCAGACAAAAGATATCAAAAACATATGAATTTAATTTAGTCAGCTTATCACTTAAGTATTGGTGATGTACATTTTTGACAGGTGACAAATTTAGTGTTTTTTTCTTTCATAAAATGGGTGTCTACTTCAGTTGAGATCTTTTGACTGGAATTTTCTAAGACAATATGGAAAGTAATGAAAGGTTCACAATTATTTCATTCCGTTTAAAATACCTCAGAATATGTACAAGTCGATTTCGTTTTAAAAATGAAAATAAATATTTGCCTCAGTAATTTTACACTTTGATGGTATAACAGAGAAATGTTTACCTGTAAAATCCTAATGAAGCAGAAAAATAAAGTTTTGATGTTTCGAAACATCTCAGAAGCCGCCTCTTGAACAGTAAACGAGACCACGTTACCCATACATGATAACAATACACTGTCATCATACATGAACAATATTATCTGTCTCCACTTGCTAGGCAAACATGCGATAGCCTGTACAGGTTCTATTCTTAAAAGAAATGGCTTTCACAAGGCTATAAGAATTCAGGAAGTCATTTTCCTACACAATTGGAATTCTTAAAATACATATGTTTTATAAAATATTTAGCCAGTGCTCAACTTATTCATTTGTATCAGGTCAAATTTCAATCCTGAAGTCTACTTAACTTTGGTAACACTTATCAATACCTAATGAAGAGTTCACGACAAGTATTTCTAGTTTATATTGCGGACGCATAATATACCTTAAGTTTCCAGATTCAAAACAAAGTCGTGGGATGTTTTAGGTTTTACCTTTCGAATTTATGATAAACAAAGTACAACTTGGTACCTTTTGACTATTTGAACGACACAATTAGCCTCAGTTATGAAATCAACCTTATCGCTTTTATCGAAAAGAGGACCCCACACATTACATAATAAAGTCTGAACTATCATAGCAAGTCAGAAGCCTGTTGCTTCTAACTTAAAGAAAGCATAACGAATTGCTTTAAAAAACTTTAATGTCTGACAGGTCAATGTTCATAAAGAATGCAGACAATGGCAATGCCATAGTCTTGTTAAGTAAAGAAGATTATGGAAAGAAAGTATAACAATACTTGAAAACCGGACCATATGAGCTTATCCCAAGTAATAAACATTCAAGCACACTGAATAAGATGAAAACTGAAACGTGTAAACTACTTAGAGAAATGAAGCTCAAACTCGGAAGTGTAACACAGTTTTCGATGGCTCCTAAGAAAACATAGCCGCTAGATTCTACGGCAGACTGGAAATCCACAGCATAAGGATTCCCCTTAAATGACAAGTTTTATGTAATTTTTCGTTTACTGATATATCTGTATGCAAACGTCCAGATACCGTAAGAATTGTCATTATCAATAGCCAAAATGTAATATGTGAATGTCCGCTTTCAGCAGCTGATATCACAGAATCGTTGAAGCTATGTTTAAAATCAACATATTTCACGTTTAAAGATAAAATATACCATCAGTCAGATAGAGTTGCATCTCCAATTTTAGAGAATCTCTATATTACTTATGTTAGTTAGGGAACATAAAGTACTGAAAAGTGTTCAATGTTAACTCAAAATTTGGAAAACGGATGTGGATGATGCGTTTGTCATTCCTAAAAAAGAAAGTTAACATACATTTCTAAAACACATGAATTATGTTTACGAATCGATAAAATTCACTACTGAGCTAGAAACTTAGAACGGGACTCTGTGCACTTCAGATTGTCTTGTAAAAGGAAAGACTGAATAGAAATATATATAAAACTGACTCATTCCGATAAACATTGAAACTTCCAACCGGATCATCCAATTAACGTAAAAGCCGCTGTCTCAGTGAATTTTCTAAACTGAGATAAAAACATTATAACTGATCCCAGTGATTTGCGAAATGAAATCTCCAGAATAAAACACGTTTTAAAGAGTAATGGATACCCTGAAATGTTTTTAAACACTATCAAGTAAACTGATAAAACAGCAAGTATTATTGCTAACAATAATAAAGGTATAACAAAATCATGTATCATCTACGACAATACCTTATCGGAAAGCCATTTCTGAAGACACTAAAGGAGTATGCGTCGAGTACGGTAATAAAGTCTGTTTTAAACTTTCAAATTTATAGAAAAGATCGTAGTCAAAGTGGAAGATACACTTCCTAAGATGACGCAGAACAACTGTCTACAAAATTAAATGTTTGGAATGTGGACCTAATTGTGCTGGAGAAAGTCGTAGACCCTTAAAAGTTAAGGTGAATGAACACAAGTTATAGGTAAAACACTCACCAAAGAATCAAGATGAATTGTTAAATTTAGAAAAGCGATCAGCAATAGCTATGTATGCAATCAAAAGTGGACATGTGATTGACTTTGAGAATGTAGATATACTGGTTAAAACATGAATAATTGCTAGGAGTGGAATCCAGGACATGCGATTTATCTTACTTGGCACCCGTCAGCTGGATGTAACTGCCTCCTAATGAGCGACGATGTTCCCACTCGATTTCTGAATGCTACCGCTAGGCACTATTTATCAGTAATATGAAGTGAAAATACAGCAATATAAAGACATCAGCTCAAGAGCCCGTATGCTAATAGAGACAGATCAGTCCAGTCGAATCAGCGACGGGATAATACAAGTAACAATATAATATTAGGTAAAGGTTTAGATTCGCATAAAAAAATATTACTTTTCGAAACCCTGCTTATTTTAGCAACATTGGATAATACAAACAGAAAAAAAAAGAAAAGCTTTGTCACCTATTTGGCAAACATTAATCCGATAAAACCATTACTGGTGATCTTTTCTAATTAAGGCCTCAATAACAATGACAGTTAAAAGTACAAGAAACGACAGGTAATCTACAACATTTACAAACACATACGCACACACTTCGACTATACTATATTTCCACTTACAAATGACAGAACAAGTGTAAACTTAAAATGACTAATCCTAATTCACGATATAGTGCAACCGCCACCGAATTTCATCTTTGAGTAACTGTCCTCACGACCATCAGGCTTTGACTCCACCGGTTTACGATGAATAACAACTTGAAATATTTCCAAATCTCCACAACTCCCTCAAAAATAATCTTAATTACTCAGGCTGCGGAGAAAACCATTTAACCAGTGGCCTAAGTATTTAATAAATTACTTGACTATATATTTTGATTTTAACAAAATTCCGTATATTCTGTGGAAGAAGCTATTGCTTACACAGCAAAACGTTCAGAAATATTCTGTTTTGATTTTCTACACGCGCTGAGATTATATTACAATTTATCATCATAATAATTAAACCAAACTCGTAGCTCAACTTCTTTCAGGATGTTCGTAAAAGCTATAACCTGGATGTTTATAATGTTATTTGAATGAAAGCTTCATCACTGACTGCGTGGTAGTCCGCACCGTTTAACACAATTTAACTAAGTGCATGAGTTACGTGGTTGTAGCTGATACTAACTTTGAAACAAAAATTGCGGAAACAACGCAGTTAAGCGGTTATTTTCTGTACCACATGTTCTTTTTGTCTTCCATTTTAATGGACTAATATAATATATAATATATATATATATATAAACTTGTGAAGCTCAGCTGCATTTCATTTTCAATTTACTTTCGGAAGGATAAAATCAACTGATTTCTATAGCTGGTATTCCACCTGATAGGTTTCATGCTCATCTTGACAGCCAAAATGTTCGTTTGACCTTTAATCTCCAACGCATCACCAAAACATTGATAGTTCTTGTTTCCAGTTCATTAAAACACCAGCACATGGAATTAAAAACGACTTAACGAGGTGCTTATTCATCTAAAGAGAAACATTTGTCGCATTTGGTATACTTAAGAATAAACTACAGTATTGTAAAAGCGTACAGACAGGAAGACCAACTTTTATGTTTTTCTCTTGGTTGGAATTACGTAGCTGCATAAAAGCGATGCAGTTTTATACAAGTTTCCATTAAGGTTGTTTC